CACCTGACAGACATGACAAGTTTGAACAAACCGTGAAACATCCTTCTTTATCCGTGGCCAGTAGCAATGTTGTAACAGTTGATTATATGTTTTCCTTACCCCAAAATGACCCGCTGTTTCCCCATGAGCTGTTTTTAGTGCCACATCACGAAACTTTTCAGGCATCACCACCTGCAAAATTTGATCTCTCACATCATTTCCCACAGTAGGTGACCACCTTCTTAGCAACAAACCATCCTTCACAAAATAACAGCGATCTAAATTGTCATCTACAGCCAACTCAAAGTATTTCTTTAAGCTTGGATCACTCTTTTGAGCCTCAGCAATGTCAAAACGAGACAAAGGTACTGGTAACTGTGGAATAAATACCTGAGCAGACGTGTGCTTGGATACATCAGACGAGTTTACATCCTGCTTATTCGCCATAGCGCGCGTCACAGCGCACGCTGTAAAAATATCTGGAAAATCTTTTTGACAACTATCTGACTCATCCAATAAAGAAGCTCCAATCTTAACCACAGGAGGTGGTGAGACCTGATCAGGAAAAACACGATCATGAGCAAAATTATTACCCACAATCAGATCAACTCCCTCTATAGGTAAAGAAGGACGCACCGCAATGGTTACATCCCCATTCACAAAACCAGAAAACAATTGAATTTTGTGCAGCGGCACTGGAAATGACTGGAGACCAATTCCCCGTATTAAAACACAATTTCCTGTATCAGATTCAGACGAGAAAGGCAAGACAGATTGACAAATGAAACTTTCTGATGCACCCGTATCACGCAGAATCTTCACTGGAACGCGACGTGCGTCTCCAACCAATGCCACAAAACCCTCCGTAACAAACGGTGCATAATCCGTTATCATAGATGCAGAAAATTCAAACTCATCACTCTGTACATTACCTTTATCAACTGACACAGTACATTGTGCACGATCCAATGTCTTTTCTGGAATTTTCTTACATGTACTCCCTGAGCGCACACCGGGAACAGATGAGGTACAGAGACCAATTTTTCCTCCATCAACCTTCCCCCGATTTCGCTCCAATAACACCGGGCAATTTTTTTTCCAATGATTTTTCCCAAAACAGTAATTACAGTCGGTTTTAATATCGAAATCTGATGGTTTACCACGTGCACTTGAATTTGAAAATACAGATGTGTCCGTATTACCACGACTATAGCGACGTTCTTTGTAATTAATGTTAGGACGCGGACAAAAATCACGAGCTGGAGTCTTGTGTATGAGAGAAAAATTATCAGCAAGAACAGCAGCATCTGCTGCTGTTTTCACGTGATGTTCGCTAATATAAGTAGCTATGCGATCAGGCAATGTGTTCTTAAGCTGTTCCAATATTATAATATCACACAACTCATCAAAAGAATCAACCTCTTCAGCTGTAAGCCAACGATGAAAAAAACTGGTTAATTCACCAGCCCATTCAGCGTAAGTCTGCTTGTCTGACTTTTTCCATGATCGAAAACGCTGTCTATAAGCCTCGGGAATTAACTCATAACACTTTAAGACAGCTGTCTTAACGGATCGATAGACCCTCTTTTCAGAAGACGGTAAAGCCACAAATGCCTTCTGAGCACGGCCAATTAACGTAGTTTGTAACAATACAATTTTATCCTCATCACTCCATTTTTGCTCAGTAGCAATATTTTCAAATAACGAAAAAAACACATCTGGATCGTGCTCATTAAATTTAGGCAGGAACTTAATCATACCGGCCAGGCCAGATTGCTGCGATTTGCCAAGCTTACCTTCAGCTACTAATTGCAGCCTAGTACGCTCAATCTCACGTTCCTGCTCTAAATTTTTAAGCCTTTCCCATTCCAACTCACGATCCTTGTCTTTCTGTGCAGCTTCTAACCTTTTAAGGTCCATTTCGTTATCAAGCCTTCTTTGAGACAACTCATCATCTAATTTTTTCCTTGCTAATTCTTGTTCCAATTCCAATATTTTTTTTTTTTCTTGCAAATCATGTTGTAGTTTTAACATTTCGACTTGCTGTTCAAATGTTAATATACTGGATTTTGGCTGTGGGTCCACAAACAAACTCGGAGTGGGCTCACTATCTGAACTCGACTCTCCCTGACCATAGCGCTCCGGCAATTTCTCGTCAGGTAACACGTTATTGTCAATCAAACACGCACGAATAAAGTCAAGCAGCTCATGCTTCTTAGCTCCCCTCGGCAATGTTACATCAATTTTATAGTGCTTAGCCACACTATGCAATTGCTTAATTTTCAACGCCGCAAGCAAGACCACTGAAGGAGCAGCCAAAAACGCCTCAAGTGTACTCATTATTACAACTTAAATTACGAGTCACCCATCACAATCAAACCAGGCTATGGTCTATACACACCCAACAGCAATAAATCCAGTCAAATAATCAAAACTAAACCTCAACGTCTTTCGGGTTACTAAACAATTCCAACCACACAAATTACATCGGGTGAAGCGGAATGCAGCTCATGTTACAGGACAACAGCGGAGTTTCCCCCTAAACATTTACCCCCCTACTATTCTAACCTATCTTCACACTAAGTCCAAGAACAAGGCTCATTTACTCACCAATACCGATGGAATCGTACTGTCCCGACAAAAGTCAATTCAGCCGGTGCTCCACGGCGGTGCCCTCGTTCAGACTTCAGTGACCAGCAACCTAAACCCACAACGCCTAAGCGCACTAATTGGGGATAAAACAGGCTCCGTAAACTGTCATCCTGCAACACAAGTAGACATACAAACACACTTCGCCACTCAAACTCAACAAACAAACTATGGTTGGCAAAAATTGCTCTAAACTGCGCAAATAACCTACTCCCAACTTTTTCACAACCAAAGAACTAACTTTTAGCGATCAACATACTAAAGTAACATTAAATTCATTAACTGAACACCCGATGCGGAACTCCCCAACAAACAATCACAACGCACGCGTGCCAGCTGATTAGACTACTATCAGCTGATCACCGGTACGTGTCATTCACAAAATGTGAACCAATGACGTAGCACTACCCACGCAACCCAGCCTACACAATATTGCGAATTATAGTAGTCTACTTACAATTCGGGATCCAAATGGCTGGACGAGCCCCCATATGTCACGACTACCTGGCTCACAGTAGCAATGACATAGGGGAGACCACACCGTTTGTTAAGTTAAAGCAAACATAATTTATTAAACATTAAATTATACGATGAAATCATAATTTAAATCAATAAATGTAACAAGTCAGTAAATGAGAAACGAAATGAAACTAATCAAAAAGTGTGTTGCAGATCAGTAAAGTGTAGACTATGTGTAATGCATACAAAGCAAAAAGAAGTGGGATGATGCTGCTGCCACCAGCATGGAGACCCGAGCAATGCCGAGCCGCGCAGCACAGAGCAGACCAAACAACCGACAGGAGATGTTTTTAAATAGTCCCTCCAATCAGCTGTTGTCGGATGGACCTAAAACAAACAGCTCCCCCTTCAGACTGGGAGGAGAGAAACGGCCCAAACATAATACTATCCATGGTGGAGTGAGCACACCCAACACGGCAAAGCCGGGCGTGACAGAAGGCAGTTCTGAAGGCAAAAGTGGCTCCTACCTGGTACAAGCTAGGTGTACCTAATAAAGTGGCAGTGCTGTGCAAAAGTCTGAAACCACTTTGACTGGGATGTTTTTCATTTAAACTGAGAAATAAATATAAAAATATAAATTATAATTTGGGATACTAAAAAATAATAATATTAAGGATACGGCACTATAATTAAACAAGTAAGAGTTATTAAAATACTAAGACTTTCTGAAGTTCATGGACAATTTTTGCACCAAAAATTGTGATGATAAAATAATTTCTAATGAAAAAAAAAGGATAAAAAAATTATTAGTAAGAAAGCATAACAGAAGCATTTTCACCAGTGGTTTCACAGATTTGAAGCCCATATTATGAAAGGCCCACATTGACACTTTAAATTCTTGATTAATACAAAATAAATAAATGTGTGTGTGTGTGTATATATATATATATATATATATATATATATATCCTATAGTCAATTAAGTTAAACACATTACTTAGATCAATTAATCATACTGTGCAAACAGAGAACTGAGATATGATCATGTTTATATTATTAGCAAATAAGACTTGAGTCATTCATTACAGAGATGAATGAACATTAAAAACCCTGGGGACTATGAAAAACTAATAATCAAATTACACAACACTGAACTGAAGGATTTAATAAAATTCAGCAAACAAATCTCCTGCACAAATGAACGAACTCAGAGAAATGTAATAAAAAAATAAATAAAATGATTCATGTAATATTGATTCATATAGTGTGTTTTTTTTTTACTAAACATTTATTAATGAGCAATAAAGATTCATGAAAAGAAATATACAGTATAAATTAATGAAGAAATCATTTAAATATATTATTTTATTGAAAATGTAGTATCTTTATGTACAGCCTCTCATACATATATACTATGGACTTAAAGAATTCTCAGTGAATGGAAACTGTTCTCTCTCGATCTCTAAAAATAAATGTACCAAATAACATAGCTAGTTCTCCTCCAGCTCGTAAAATACAACTAGTATTGCAGCCTGGAAGGTAAACATTAAATACACAATGGAGAATATCAATATTAATGATCTATACATTATTGCATCGTCAGAGAGCTGCAGAGTACAGTCTCGTGACAAATAAGGATATCATAGAGAGATGAAAGGCCCACGCTTTTCCTATTACACAAAAGAGAGTTTGAATCATGATAAAAACAGGCTGAATCTACTTACTGCATATGACGAAAAGAGCACACGGAGAAGAGAAATGCTGTGTTTCCTGTCAGATGAAAGGATAAGGATAGAGTGAACTGGTGATTGAGCTTATTGACTACACGATACAAGACAAAAACTGCATCACAGGCTCCCTGACAACATCAAGCCGTTGACTGAACACGTGAGATTTGGGGTCGTTTCTGACAGCGCCTCCAGGCATGTGCTTGTCCGGGGTTGGTTGAGTTGAAAAGGAAGACCATGATAATTCAAGTCTTTCAGGAAGCAGTTCAACACTTTATTTGAAGTGTTTTCAAATGCAAAAGTCCTCACTAAGACGGAATATCCTTCCTGGGTTTTGCGATGGTGAGGACAGTTGAGGATAAAGTTTCACTAAACACACCATTGTTTCAAGATCTGAACGTAGTGTGGCATAGTTCCAGAAACGTCTCAGTAAGGCGCAAATAGGATGGAGCCCGCGGTGTGTCGGATCGGTCCTGGAGCGGCGCGGAGAAAGGAGGCCGGAAGCGAGGCCGTCTGAAAGATGGAGGTGTTGGGACGAGGGTGGAGGGAGATGGACGGGACGGTGGTGGGGGCGAAGGGTGTGTGGAGGAAAGCCTGTGAGATGGGCTTCACCAAGTCATTCTGCAGGGCGAGTTTGGCCTGGAGGAAAAGGAAAGAAATAAACACTGAATCAATTTGGTGAAGGAGAAAGAACAGTGTCTGCATCAATAAAGAAACGAGGACTGCACAATTAATCGAAAGCACATTGATTATATGGCCTAGAGTGATTATTGAACCTGAAAGCCTGTGATGATGTAATTACATATATACTCTGGTCTGCATGCATCATGTACATCTGAGGTTTTATGAAATTGTTTTTAGACATGGAATGTAAAAATAGTCAACTATAAGCAGAAATTAAAACCTCTTCCTTCAGTTCACCAATCTACAAATAATAATACATTTTATTACAAGTATTACTATTGAACATAATACTCCATTGTATACATGATATACTACTACTAATAATTAATATTATTATTATGAAGTTGAATACTTTATGAATAATAATAATAATATAACAAAAGAAGAGTTATTGAAGGTGTTGTTATTATTATTTATCACTTTACAAATAATACAAATAATAATAATATTGTTGTTAGAATTATTACTGATAATAATAATAATATAAAATATGTTAATGCTTTATTGGTAATAATAATACTTTATGTTATTTTAATACTTTACAAATTATTATTATTTATATTATAATAAGTATTATTATTAATAATACTTTATTGATGATGATATAATATGAATAATAATAATTATTATTAAGTTTAATACTTTATGTAAATATTATAATAGTAATAACAACAACAACTATAATGATGATGATAATATTATTTAATACTTTACAAATACTAATATTGTTGTTGTTATAATTACTACTACTACTAATAATAATTTAAAATATTTTAATGCTTTACTGGAAATAATAATAAAATACAAAATAATAAAAAAAACAAAAATATTAGTATTAATATTCTTTTTGTTGTTGTTATTAGTAATTATTCAAATGTTACAGTTTTCTAATGCAAGTCTATAGATTGGAGAATCTGTGCATCTGTGCAATACTTTCAAATGCGATTTACAGAAATGATCCTAAAATATTGTAAACAGAAAAATAACAAAAACCAAAAAATGTATTCTTCTTATGTGACATTCTGTAAAGCTCGTCTGAGCCAGCAACAGTAACCAAGCGAGGCGGAGCTTGGCGAAGGGCCAACTGTACTACAAATAGCATATTTTGCATATAATTTGAAGATGCGAGCATTAAGCCCCTCTGATGCATTAGCATCCCAGAGAGGTATTTGTCAGCCTAGAAAGTGTGGAACAACTCCTCACAGCACTGACACTTGAGCTGCGAGAAACACTTGATGAAAGCGCTTGATTATGAAGAGTATAAATAATGCATTACTGCCAGAGAGCTGGAGCTGCGCTGCTGCTTGTTGTACGGGCTGTATTTGGGTTTGGTGGGTTTGCCAGCCACTCTGTCCTTGTGCCGCCTGCTGGAAATATGCTGTGAAGAAAACAGACATTTGTGACCAAACTTAACACTGAACTGAACCATCATAAACAGCATAACAGGAAGTACAACTTCATTTTATCCGCATGCAAATCTGGTAAGATCAAGCCACAGAATCACATTACTATTTATAGTGCTTTCATTATTCATCACTGCACACGTTATGTTTTGTTGTAAACTGCATAAGTAATGATCATGCCGAATGCAGCCAAAGACACGTGCTAACAAGAACACATCCTCTTACACTGAAACTGAACTGAATACCTGTTTGAGCTGGATTTCTGAGTTGACGTGGACATCACAGATTTCACAATGAAACGTCTTGTTCTGTAAGCCCGAGCCTTTGTTAAGCTGTGTGGCCTGAACTTTGAGTTTGGACCCGGGTCTGGGGTACGCTTTAATGGGGCCAGCTCCATTTCGTGCCTCCAGCATGGTTTTATGCTTTGAGCCTGGTGAAACAGACAAAGTAGAATGTTTTCTCTGGCTTAAAGGAAAAAAAGTAGAAGAAAGAAATCTGTTTATTCAGTGCAGCTGTAAGGCTTTCGGCTGCATTGATCTAACGTTGCACAATTTCTAACACCGAATATTTCAATTAAGTCAGATGAGAACTTGAATTTACTTATGCTTATTTTTACGGCCTACGGTTGTGGAATATACTAGTACACAGTGATTTTGTTGAAGGTATAATATTAAGCAAGACTGTATAGCCCCTTTCACACAGAGATTCCGGAAAATACACGGATAAAGCGACCCGGGATTTGACCCGGGTTCGTTTGATTTTGCTTCATTCACACTGCCAGTGATTTGCCGGAATCAGAGAGTGCGTTCACACACAACCCGTGTATGTTCCGGAAAGACACGTGACATCGATGTGACATGTAATGTCTCAGCAACGTGTAGTTTGCTTATGAGCTGCGATTTCTCTCTGGAGAAACCACGCTTGTGCATTTTTTTCTCTGATTCGATCATAAACTAGCGTATTACATACCGTTTCACTAGCCTGCTTTCACTTCACTTCAGCGTCATCATTACGACACGGCATTGGTTACGGCTTTTGTTCACACAGCGTGCGTTCCCGGTCTGAACACGGCAATGTTACTAGGTCCCCAACCCGGCATCGATCCCGGCATCAATCCCGGGTCGTGTTTGCGTTCACACAGAAGGCACTCTGGCAATTTGCCGGCAATTTGCCGGGTTCAAAGCGCTGTGTGAAAGGGGCTTATGTGTACTTTAAGTTTCCTAAATATTCACTAACTCGCAAGTTGTGAGACAAGGGCGTATCACAAAATGAGTATGAAAATGTCAGGACAAATACTACGTTTATTTATCAATTGAATCAATTCAAAATTTGGGATCAGTAAGATTTTTTTAGAAATGATCTAAAACTTCTTCCAACTTCTCTGGAGCATGGTCAGCTTCGAGGGGCCTGTGACTGGAAGATGCTAGTGGATGTTGGTCGGCGGCTCGTTTTTCCTCCAGAGATTGCAATCACCACACTTAGGCCTGACGTAGTTCTCCGGTCCCCCTCTCTGAAGAAGAACTCACTGTACCCTGGGAGGACTCAGTGGACGAGGCATACGAGCGAAAACAACTACGCTATGCTGAGCTAGCTGCTGAAGCACAAGATCGCGGATGGAAAACTGAAGTCCGTCCAGTGGAGGTGGGGTGCAGGGGGTTTGTGGCAGTGTCTACCACCAGACTGCTTGGAGACCAGGGGCCTCATTTATAAAACTTTGCGTAGGATTTGCGTCAGAAGTGGCGTACGGATGAAACATAGGACGTGCGTACGCACAGAAATATTCGGATTTATAAAACCGTGCGCACGCACATCCTACGCATTTTCCCCTTAATAAATCACAATCAATTCTAAATGTAGCGCAGCTTTTGCGGCTTCATGTCACGCCCATAGTTACACATAAATAGTCCGTGAAACGCCCACAAGTTAATATTCATCGATTGCGAAATCATGGCAAACATAGAGGAAATCAAAAAAACGTTACTTCATTCAATGTGAAGTAGAAGTTATCGTTGGCGAGGTGGAAAAGAGGAGAAAAAATGTTGTTTGGAGGGCACAGTGTGGGCATTAGCTACTAATGCCAAAAAGGCACTTGAGTGGCAAAAGGTTGCAGACGCCGTATGCTGTAGCCTCACAACCTCGGACTGTGGCCGAAATAAAAAAGAAATGACAAGCTACAGATGTCGGTTATAATCTACTTGGAAATGGGAAATAGTTCAGCGCAAATGTAATTTCTTGCAGCTTTCTGAATGGTTTAGACATACGTCATACGTTATTTTATCAAAAATAAAACAAACTAAAGGCATATGCATGAAATACCTGCATGAATACCATGATTCCGTAGCTGATAAAGACATTTTTACTATGAAAACAACTTTCCCCAGTGGACAAATAATACATCTATCTATTTATCTATCTATCTCTCCCTAATTATCTATCTATCTATCTGACTGACTATCTAGCTATATCTGCTCCGCCAGACGGACACATTGGCGAGAATATCAGTTTTGTACATTATTTCGTTCTGTTTACCATCTTATTTATGAGGATGAATTGTATAACATGCCAATATTATTGCAGAACATTTCACTTTTCTTTTTGCAAATATGTGTTAATTTGCATTTCTGTTGCAGATCGATCAAACGGGTGTTCGTGTAGGCTGTTAATTGTAATACTTGCTTTGTGACGTCTTCGTGTTATTTATGAGGCAGTATTGCCATTTATTTTACACAACGGTCTACAGTTTCACACACTTTCACGTGTTTCTTCCATCTGCCGACGGTGTCGCCATTTCTCATTTCACCCGTTTTTGTGCGTACGCCTGGGTCAGAGCTTGCGTGAAAGACCGCACATTTTACCGTCAAGTTTGCTTTTTATAAATACCAATTATTGCGTAGAGAGCGGCGTACGCCTTCTTTTGTGCGTACGCAACGTTTATAAATGAGGCCCCTGGGAATCAGAGGCCAGAGCCTGCGCCAGGCCATCAAAGCAATGTCTGAGGCAGCTGAGAGAAGCAGCCAGTGGCTGTGGATGAAGAGACAAGACTCTTGCTGGGCTCCAGCTTGATTGGGTGATTGGGGGGATACACTGCGGGGACTTGATCACCCCCGTAGGGCCTTCCTCAACCGAGGATGTCTAGTTATAATAGTCGAAACATCCAATGAAGCTTGAGGTGTACTACTGACGATGTGTCCCTCGGATCACCCACCAAGGGAGGATGCCCACCCGAAAAAAACCTCCACTTTGACAACTACACTGCCCAGGTCAAGTACATTCTCCTGCTACGCGCTTGCACTTAACCCTCTGGGCTTCTTTGTTTAGGGGTTACACTTGGCTTCCTTTCGGTCAAAAAAGACCGAAGCCTTAAAATGTAACTTTTTTTCCCCCCAGGAAAACCATTCAAATATATTTTTGTTCAATAATATTTTCTTATTATTATTTAGAATTTTTTAAGATTTTTATGATACTTTGCATTATTTATATAATTTTTATGAGCTATTTTTTCCATTAGAATTTTTTTTAATTTTAATTATTATTATAAAAATAAAAAAATTCAAAAAACTCAACGTGGCACATTAAAATATAATAAAATTAAATATAAAATATAATTTTTTTAAGTGAGAATACCGCCATCCAGTGGCTTTAAAAATGTTTTAAAGTGTGTAATGTCCGTAACCGCCTGTAGGCTGCCCATAGCTTCCTATGTAAATACATAGAAATGCTTTTTGATTCCTATTGCTGTTTTAGACATGATTTCTCTCTCTTATTCGTTTTTTTTTATTTAGATATATATTTAGATATGCTAAAAGACTACTTTTTTTTTTTTTTTTTTTTTTTTAGATAAGTAAAAATGTATAAATGTGTGTAATGTCCGTAACCGCCTGTAGGCTTCCTATATAAATACATAGAAAGGCTTTTTGATTCATTTTGTTGTTTTAGACATGATGAGGTGTGTGTGTGTGTGTGTATTTGAGCGAGAAAGAGTAGCCTATCTTTTGTACTTTATTTTAATTTTTGATTTTATTTAGCATTTTCTAAACATTTGCTATTGCAGTCTTTCCTATTCATTTCTCTGTGTGTGTGTGTGTTTGTGTGCGTGGGTGTGTGTGTGTGTGTGTGGGGGGGGGGGGGGGGTGTGTCTTATTTGCACTCTTGATGTTTTAGAGTGTCACCCCTTCATTGCTGTACACTTTTTTTCTGCACAGTGGCTGATCTGTAGTTTGTACCACCAAAAGTTTCTCTGAGTTTTCCTATTTTTTCGTATTTCCCATTCATTTCCTTAGTCGGTCATTTTTGACCGAAAGGAAGCTAAGTGTGACTATTTTTTTTAAGAGCCTTTAACATATCCGAATCATCTCCTTGATTTTTTTGTGTGTTCACATAGGTAATACAACAAAAGTCACCAAGTTTCATCCCCTCCGATGAAGCAAAAAAATTAAACATTTCAAAACGTATACTGTTTCGGTCATTTTTGACCGAAGAAGCCCAGAGGGTTAAAGGATGTATTACATCTCGCCCTGTGTTTCCTGAAAACTTAATAAGAAATGAATACTTTTATTACATGCATTAAATTAATCAAAAGTTACAGTAAAAACATTTATAATGTTACGGAAGATTTCTATTTCAAATAAATGCTGTTCTTTTAAACCTTCTATTAATCAAAGAAAAAAACCCATCAGGTTCCACAACTTTTTAACTGATAATAATAAGAAAGAGCAACAAAGCTGCATATTAGAATGATTTCTGAAGGATCATGTGACACTGAAGACTCTTTTGAACTGACTGAAATAAAAAAAAAAATATACACAAACTTTTAAACAGTGTGTACATACTGAATATTGTCAAAAGGCTGAAAAATATCACGATATTTTGTAGCTTTATCACCCGCCCGACTCTGAACACATTCTTCTATAGTGTGTCTGGATAATGTATTCTAAGCATAAAAAAGCTATTTCTTGCAGATGAAATATTTTAAAGCTGAGCATAACTAGAAAAAATGTATATTGACTACATAAATGTTCATGTCTTTTTAATATTTGATTAGTCTCAATGACGTTTCCAGGCTTTTTTAAAATTCCGCAATATGTCCAGGTTTTCCTTGACTGTGGGAAACCCGTCTACATTTTCCTGTTCTTCATACATTATCAATGATGAGCTTCACATCGCTACACTGGTTCTGATTTATGTTTTAACTGCAAGTACATTTCCACACTCCCAAGCCTCAGAGGGTCACTTCATAGAAACATTTCTGATAAAGAAGAAGGCATAATGGCGAGGGAGCCGTGGGAAAGAGTGTGATGCGGAGGCAGATGTTGGCCACACCTGTGTTGTGTGCCTCCAGCTGTGAGAGGGAGTTGACAGCCACTTTACACAGCGAACAGTACAGGAGCTTCTTGGCTTTCTCGTCCTCGGACTCCACGCTGGGCTCTGACGGGGCCGTTGGCACCGCTGCTGGTTTGGAGGTGTTCTTCAGGGCTGCCGCGTGCCCTGTCGGCTCGGTGGGTGGGCTGGCATGCGCGGGTGCCGTCTTGCATGGGCTGGGCACTAATGCCACCGCGGGCGCAGCGGGAGCTGCCACAAAGGCTTGCGGGGAGGCAGGGACTTTGTGAGCAGCCAACGGCTCTGCACTTTTCTCTGAGAGAGAGAGAGAGAGAGAGAGAGAGAGAGAGAGAGAGAGAGAGAGAGAGAGAGAGAGAGAGAGAGAGAGAGAGAGAGAGAGAGAGAGAGAGAGAGAGAGAGAGAGAGAGAGAGAGAGAGAGAGAGAGAGAGAGAGAGAGAGAGAGAGAGAGAGAGAAAGAAACAAGAAAAGAGCAAATCTGACAGTTAGTGGTGTAGGGCTCGGCATGTTGTATTATGCGCTGCCACATTTTCAACACCTTCCTGTCTGTTTTTTCCACTATTTTGTGTGTTAGGGTTTGATATAAGGTCTTCACTGCAGGAAAGCACTCTATGTCAAACGAGTTGCAACCAGTGCTGAAGAGATTACTAACACAAATTATAGTCCGTTACTGATTACAAATTACATTTTTTTGGTAATGTATTCTGACCTTTTTTTTTTATTACTTTTGACCTAACACATACATTTTAATAGGAGTATTTAGCATAATATTCATAACAGAAGATATATTGTATATAAAAAACTTAAAACTAAATAAAAAAATTATATAAAAAATATAATATATAAAATTATAAAGAAATAAAATATATTCCATTTTTTAACAACAACATGAAGGACCTCAAAGTGGGGTTTGTGAAGGAACTGCTGGGGGTTTGTGACAATACTAATAATTAATATCATAACAATGAATTAAATAAAAAATAAAAATAAAACACTTGAACAGCTGCATGTAATGTGACCATTAACCAGCATTAGAGAATCAATACATTATTAATAATTTACTGGCATTGTGTGAATAATATGAAATTATTTAATCAATAAAAAGTAACTGTATTGTGATTATGAGTATTATTAAAGTGAAATACAGTACCGGTCAAAAGTTAGGAAACATTAATATTTGTAATATTTTTTTTTTTTTTTTAAGAAGTCTCTTAAGCTCATTAAGCCTGCATTTATTTAATCAAAAATATAGAAAAAGTAATATTGTGAAATATTATTACAATTTAAAATAATGATTTTCTATTTTAATATACTTTAAATATAACTTATTCCTGTGATGCAAAGCCGAATTTTCAGCATCATAACGCCAGTCTTCAGTGTCACATGATGCTTCAGAAATCATTCTAATATGCTAATATATTATCAATGTTGGAAATAGTTGTGCTGCTAAATATTTTTTTATATATATATATACAATTTGTAATAATTATTTGACGTAGACTACTTTTAAACTTAGAATTATTCCTTGGCATCCTCGCATAGCCTACTAAACTGCATAGCTACTTTTTTTACGCTATTACGTCGTGTTAACATTTAAGCTGGTGAGAGAAAATGGCACTATCAAAGAGTCTAAAAAGGGAAGTTGACAGCGAAAATAGTTATACAAAGAATAATAAAAAGACAACTATGCGTTCATCCTACCTAGTTTTGTAAATGCAAAGCCGGTGTGTCTTATCTGCAACGACAACCCGATCACACTAAATGCGTCTCTATAGCACGCATTGTGTCTATCGTGCAATTTATACGCGAAAAAGAGTTTTTACGTGCATATGATACGCATGGGTAGGTTTAGTAGTGGTGTCTGGTGCGTGTGTATTATACGTTGGGTAGGATTAGTGGTGTGGGATGCGTGTGTATTACACGCAATAAAGTGCGTATCAAATGCACGCGAAAAACTGCGTATCATATGCACGTAAAAACACATTTTCGTGTATAAATTGCACGATAAACACAACGCGTGCTAAAGAGACGCATTTAATATAATATTAGACATTTCATGACGGTTATTTTAGAGGTGTGTCTAGCGATCCACAGACTCTTTTGAATGTCTTTCAGAACTTTTCAGGCTGCGGCGCGGGCCAGATATTATTGCCGGCGGGCCAAGCAATAATTGCCGACCCCTGCGTGTGTCTGGATAATGTATTCTAAGCATAAAAAAGCTATTTCTTGCAGATGAAATATTTTAAAGCTGAGCATAACTAGAAAAAATGTATATTGACTACATTAATGTTCATGTCTTTTTAATATTTGATTAGTCTCAATGACGTGGGGGTTTATATATATATATATATATATATATATATATATATATATATATATATATATATATATATATATATATATATTCTTTTCTTAAAATATAAATATTTTGTAATGCACTATCGTTCAAAAGTTTGGGGTTAGTAATTTTTTTCTTTCTTTTTTTTTTAAAGAAATGTATAATTTTTTTCAGCAAGGATGATGATAAAATTTATAAAAAAGTATATAAAAATATTTTTATTCTTAGAAAAGATTTATATTTTTAATAAAAGCTGTTCTTTTTACTTTTTATTCATCAATGAATTCTGAAAAAAGTATCACAGGTTCCAAAAAAATATTAAAAATATAGGTTTTTTTTCTGTATTTCTGATCAAATAAATGTAGGATTGATAAGCATAAGAGACTTCTTTGAAAAACATTCAAAATAGTAATGTTTCCAAACTTTTGACCGGTACTGTATATCTAATTACAAGTACGCCATCTTTTGGAATCAAATGACGTAATCCGGATTACATATAACCAGTTACTCGCCAGCACTGGCTACAACAGCGCTGGATAGGGTCAGGCTACCTTCTAACACCAGTGACTGCTCGGGTCCCGCGTGCTGTAATGTGATAGGACGTGACCCCTGGATCGCCCACCACCCTTACGCCCTTGTCATAGCGTTACATGCCGCGGGAGGCCCTAGAAGTACTTGATGTCGGATGCCTGTACTCTCCACCCACTCTCTAACAGGCTTCTGAGGGAATATTCCGCTGGTTTATATGAATGTCACTTTCTGCTCTTGCTTTTTTTTTTCTCTCCCCGAGGACTCAAAGCAGCCAGAACAGTCGAATGTTCCCCTATACAGTGACATTACACCCACTGACACTAACCTGAACCTCTAGGCTGGAACTGCTGCTCTTTTGCATTTTTCTCTCTCCCAGTTTCAGTTTATATATCAAATCTTCCAAAGCGAGGTAGGTGGAGACATATGCCTCTTTGTTCTTGTTCTCACTATTTTTTTTGTGGTGAGTCATAAAGAACGTATTGTAACCGAATAAGAAGACAGATCAGAGATAAAGTACAACTATTTGGAAAACTTTTCAAAACTAACAGAAATCATAAACTCTGTAGCAAATCAAAGTAACCTGCCTCACTGTCTCTACATAGGCAGCTGTTCATTTAAAAAATGCCCAACATAGGCAGTAAAAAATCTAACGCGCTGCTAAGCTAACAGTGTGATACTTTAATAAGCATAAAAACATGCAGCACACAAATATTAGGTCATTTTTAATTAGATTAAACTTTTATAATCAAAGTTTTTGGTTTCGGATGATTTATACGAATATTCTACAGTAGCTCAAACAGCAGTAAGTGGTGTCAAGGTAATGGATTTGATTCCCATGGAATGCATTAACTAATAAAAATGTCTTGGATATACCTCATAATAAAATGCATATGTGTAAATAAATATTTATCTGGCTTTTTTTCAGATGCAGTGCATTATGAGATTGCCTACTTTCTGAAGGATAGCAGAGCAAAGCAGCATTTATTTACAGTAAAAAAAATAAGGTAAATCAGTAATATTGTGAAATATTATTACAATTTAAAAGTAACTGTTTTCTATTTTAATATATTTGAAAAAATTAAATTTATTTCTGTGATGTCAAAGCTGAATTTTCAGCAGCATTACTCCAGTCTTCAGTGTCACATGAATCATAAATCATTCTAATATTCTGATTTGGTGTTCCAGAAACATTTCTTATTATTACAGTTGAAAACAGTAATCTGATAGATTTGTTTACCAGATGAATAGAAAGTTCAAAAGGACAGCATTAATTTGAAACAGAAATCTTTGTAACAAGTCTTTACTGGCACTTTTGATACCTTTTAATGTAATCTTGCTGAAAATTAAAAGTATTAATTTCTTTTTTAAAAAATGGTATAAATTTGAATGGTATAAAACAATTCAAACTTAATTTGGCTAAAAGAAGCAATCCACCCTTTGAAACAAAAGTGTTTATGATGCCTTAAAATACAGCCTATGTAGGCAGCTGCCTAGGTTTTGGAACAGAGCCACAGTGAGAACAACTGACACTTGTTTGGATGCAGATCAAGCAGTGACCGCAATGTTGAAATGACCTTGCTATATCCTTTCTGAAAAAATCTAGATCTTAAAACAAAAACAAAAAAAAACAAACAAACAGAGCAATTACCGTGCACACACATCCCAGAATAATCCAACACATGGAGCTCTGAAGAATTACATAAAGCAAGCTATTACGTAAAGCACTGGCGCTAGCAATTTTAATGATTTAATGCTTGAAGTTTTCCCATGTAAACTAAAACTGACTGAATTGTGTGTTGCCAGGGTTTGGGGAGAGACGAAAACAGCATCCCCCTCCCGAGCCTCAGTCCGAGATCAACACCGCACTAATACGACGGCATGACAGTGAGGACCCATAAGCCATCTGTGAATCAGGCTGACATTCATTTGGCCTGATTTGTGCAAAGACACTGCATATCAATGAGGAACACCACTGCCTAATAAACGAGACGCACCCAAATCTGTCTCAGAGACTGTAGCTAGAGAACCAGCGAATTCGGAAAGTATGCTCTGGCTCGGATTTGCACCCCGTAGGGCATGCGTCTTGGTACATCCCAGTCTTAATTCTTAATCAGACACAAGGGCCTGGAATTGAGTGGGTCACAGCGTGAAGCAAAGATCAGATGATTATGTTCTTTGAAATGTAACACAAATCTAATTCAGTCGAATCAAAGGCCAGAGAGGATGGAAAAAACGAAAATAACAGCATCCCAGCACGCATCCTACCGCCTGTTCCAATTCCGTAAGCGTTTTACATAATTAAACATTTAAACGCAACACAAAAAGAGACAAAAAGATCATGCGCAGGAAACTCAATATGCAGGTAATGATGAAAGAAGCAAACAGAGCTGCAGGAAAAGTGTTCTGTTGTTAGCATGATAAAGCATGTGGCTTATTACTGCCACAGCAGGGCTGCTGCTTACCTCGGCACACGAACAACGAGAACGCCCTTGGTTACCCTAACGTAGTCTAGATGCTTTTATGAGGAACTACGTGCAGTGCACACAAACACAAGCACATGGAGTGTGTAAACAGTGGCGAGGATTCGGGGTTAGAGCGGCGGGAAGAAAAGCATGGAGTTAAACGCACATGGCGAGGGAAGGACAGGAGAAAGAGGATGGGACAGGTGATGTGGAGCAAGAACAAAAGGAGCTATTAACCTGGTTGGTCAGAGCAGCTGGCAGTGACTGCAGTGCAGGAGGAAGTGGTGGTGGTGTTGGTGGTGGTGATTGTCTTAGCGACGCTGTCCTGGGCGGCTGCACTTTTCTGCTTATTTTTCGTGGACTCCTGTGCTTTGAGCTTCTTGGCATGTTTACTGCCTTTGTAGTGCGCCTCGGCTTGGCTCTACAAAGGAGAACAAATGAACCATCCAATCAGGCTCATTTCTAACAACTAGCATCTACCATCATGGACCGCAATCACACAAACACACACATTTCAGACATGCTTTCAATAGCAGGCACTGTTCAAATCAAGGTAAGGAGGAGATTTGGGTGAGCACATTTTCCAGAGCCTAAGAAAAAGAGACGGACATGCCGTGTTTAGAGGGGATTGATTCTCAATGGAAAACACGAAATGGGCATCGATAGCTGGCACTCATTGAGGTTGCTAATGGAGAGTTTACTCGTATCTTTAGTTGTTCAAATTTCAAGTGGAGATTTAAAGGGAAAATGACTACTTCACACTTAAATAGAATGAGAGGGAGCGAGAGAGAAAGAGCTTATGATGGATTCGGATACATTTGAATATCTGACTGCTAAGAATTAGGGGCTTAATTTCTCATTTTTATGACATTAAAGTCCCAAAAGACCTGCAGATGGATTTTCTCTCCAAATGCTGATACTCTGTCACATTCACTAACTGCACGTTTAAGGGATTTCTGACAGTGCAGGCAGACCGCAACGCTCACGGATGTTTTTCCTGCAGATTATTTAAAGAGGAAGCCTGCAGTTTCCAGTTTTCGAGCTGTTGAAAGAAGCATTTCAGGTAAGGGCCATTCACACTGCTGCTGCTAATCTTGTAATTTTATTACATTTATAATTGTATTCAATTATATATTTCATATTTTACATAAATATATACATACATAAAATTATATTTAACTATAAAATTATAATATATTAAAACATTATTTTTATATATATATATATATATATATATATATATATATATATATATATATATAGTTAAAAAAATAAATCGCTCTCAGTGTGAACCTTCACCAAACCTGTATCTGGGGGACTTGGGGGTATAGGGACGAGTTCAGTGATTGCAGAACAGTATTGGATGTGCCTCTATTGAAAGAAACATATTAACTTTACTAGTTAATACATATATACAATTGATCAAAACAAACACACGAACAGACAGACAAAAGAATATCTATTACAAAGCATGCGGCTAACATCATGTAGTAAAGGTGCTGGGATTAAAGAGGGGTCAAAGTTATTTTGTTTCTTTTTTCTGTCATAAAGACAAAATGGCTGCCGTTCACTTGTGATCTTGTGAATGTGTGTTGAACCATCTGAGTCAGAGCTGAAAAAACATGAAATATGATAAGAGAGAAGGAAGAAAGAGACAGAACAAGCGAAAATGAGGTGCGTAACATCCATCGCACCAACAGCACAGATTGCTTGTTCAAGTGACAGGCTTGAGAGTCATAATGACACACAGGACGCTGCTGCAGACAGTGACAGGAGAGAATGATGTGACGACCTGGGGCGTTTTGTCTTCTCTGCACTGTGCAAATGTTAGCAGCGCCTGTGACCTGGATTAAGTGCACTTGACATTTATAAATTGACTTTCTCCCAAGCTAAGTGTGAGCCCATTTCAATATTTACAAAAACGATCACAACCGGACCATAATTTCAGTCTTTATAACATCAAGTGTCTTCCAGCTTAGTTCTAGCAATCACAGGGCCTCATTCGTGGAACACGATCAGCAGAAATTTCTCTGTAAATTGTTTTAAACATAGAACGGGCTTACAAACCTGTTTATGTTTTGTGAACATTAAAAGGTTCACCCAGAAATTAACATTTTTCCATAATTTACTCACCCTCATGTTGTTCCAAACCTGTACGCATATTTCTTTCTTCTGCAAAACACAAAAGAGGATATTTTGAAGAATGTTGGGGTCCAAACAACATTGGACTCCATTGACTGGAACTGTATGGAACTGTATGGGGGGAGGGGGGACACTGAGGCATTTTTGTTTCTAAATTATCTTCTTTTGTGTTCCACAGAAGAAAGTCACCAATACATTTAAATTTCCAGATTTTAAAAGCACAGTAGCTAAACAAAATCTTAACATCCATATCAATCATAAGTGTAAAGTATATATTGCACTGTTTATTTTAAGTTCTCACTTCACTTCCCTATGATGAATTGAGAAAATGAGTCTGGAATTGCAATTTGGAAATTAGCTCCATTGATTAAAAAAAATCTGGAAAATTCTGGAATCAAACGGCCCTTCGATTTAGTCTACCATTCAAAAGTGGGATCTGTAAGATTTTTTTAAGTCTCTTATGCTCACCAAAGCTGTATTTACTGTATCTGATCAAATATACAGTAAAAACAGAAATATTGTGAAATATAATTACAATTATTTTAATATTTGAATATATTTAAAAATATAATTTATTCCTGAGGTCAAAACTGAAATTTTTACTCCAGTCTTCAGTGTCACATGATCCTTCACAAATCATTCTAATATACTGATTTGATGCTCATGAAACTTCATATTTTTGTGGAAACCATAATACATTTAGAAAATACAAATCCATCCTTGCTAAATTAAAGTATTCATTTCTTTAAAAAAAATCTTAATGACCCCAAACTATTGAACAGTAACGTACACAGATTATCAAAATCAACCATCAATGCGAGAATGGTTTGCAAAACGATTTAATATACAAATTCATTCTGCGTGTCTTGAACGAATCGTCACAATGCTGCAATTTATTTGTGAATACTTTCACAAACATTTTCACACAGAAATTCGTTCCGTTTGTGTATCATGAACAAGGCCCATTGAGCGTATATGACATTCTTCAGTGAACAGTCAGACACATACACACTTTATTAATAGCTATGTTGCAAAAAAAGTCTTTGCAACAAGAGCAGGACACGAACCAGCAAACATAAAAAGACTTGCATAGGCAATAAGCACCAGTAAGCCTTTCTGCTGATATTTGCAAATACGAGCTGCCAGCAATATCAGTGCATTACCCTACAGCTGTCTCTGTATCCTCCCGTTCAGTGCTCATGTACTGTACAAGAAACCTGTCAAACACATACACACCTACACATTGTAACAGCTTGATGTATGAAAGTACACAGTTGATCTTTTAGGGAGTCTATTCTCTCATGCATACAGGCTTTGACTGTGGTTTTCACAGGCCTGGCTGATGCAATACACAGACCGGCCTCAGATGGGGCATCACTGTCAGAAATGTATTTGATTTCCTATTTATCATATTTTTTGTTATCCTCTGATCCCACTACAATGTGTCTTATAAAAGTGGTGTGTGCATATTTCTTCTATGTTAAAAGTCCTAGTTGCAGAATGCAACTCAAATGCCTATAAGTGAGCCATCTGCAATACTTTAAACATAGCTTTTTTTTTTAGCAGGACTACCTGTTTTTCCAAACAACTGCAGCTGGGTGCGGGTTCTGAAAACCTGTTTGGAAACAGTAGTTATATGTCATATTCTTGGTTTGGTGCTGCTAATGGCCTTTTCTTGGTGCCTTTAAACGCATGTGTGCTTGCATAGTTGTGCAAAATTTAGTCTTACAATGACAATCTCAAATGATTTAGCCAATTATGCAATACAAGCATTATTAGTGCCAACTTCTGTTGTTTTTCTGAGGCCACAGGTCCCTGCCACAAAACATCTGCTCACAAACTTCCTCAATGCATGAAGTCATACAGCAATTATTACCTACTCCATTCCCTCACCCCTCACTTCAGCCTTTTAAATAATTTTTAAGCACAATAACAGCCTCAATTTGATGAAAAATGCAAGCCAAACGTTAAGGCCTGGTTATTAGCCAATTTCCAGACTCCAGTTTTTTTCCTTTTTTTATCTCAGAGCACAGATAAAAGTGTTTTTGTCCAGCTTATAATAAATCTTTTTTTTTACATTTCCACCTCCTACTCAAAGCACAAGACAGAAGATTCCTTACATGTGTAGTCTCGCGTAGCCAGACCTTCAGACTGACGGCTGAAGGTCTGGAACTCATAGCAGCTTTCTTTGGCCAAGGCCCGCCCATAAGGCCGTTTGACCGACATGTCAAACAACCAATTACAGTTCGTTTCGTTCAGCGTCACGTGGAAATGTCCCCACAACAACAGACCGGCGTGCAACAAGTCAGTCAGCATAGAAAATCAAAGGAGGAGAAGAAAACCGAACACAATACTGAATCGGCCAGCTGCGATGTCAGCGTCTGTTGTTTCATGTTTGCCCGCAAACGCGGCTGATATCCCCTTCACAGTTAGGTATTTCACTTGATCTTCCATAATAGATCATAGCTGTCAACATTGAACATTGAATATAAGGGATATTTCCCGGAATCCATCCCCAAAATAAGGGATTTTTTTTACACGATTCTTACCCACCACAAACTTTAAAAATAAAGCACTAATCATTAAAAGTCTAAAGAGTTTATAACTACAAATGAGTGAGAGAGAAAGAGACAGTGTGTGTGTATTAGAGAAAGTGTGTCATTTTTTAAACATTTTTTATCAGAGAATGTTTAAATACTAATATCAGTTTACGAGGGAAACGGTACGTGGTGCTTCGGGGGCTGCTGGAGATGATTAGGGAGAGGTCTGTGCTCCTTTACCGATCAAAGCGCGCGCTGACACGGAGTATAATTGTTTATACTTGACGCGTCCGCACGAGCGCGGCAAAGATTACGCGTTGGGTGCGCAAGACAGGCAAGACCCCATTTCGCTTGGCTGTGTGCACAGCTTTTTTTGTAACAGCGCGCGCGGCGCCGCATCCGAGGATGAACGACTTCAAGCCGAATCTGCCCGAGCATGTACGTCTCACACAATCAGAGCGTAAAAATACGGGATATTTTACGGGAAAATAATAAAACGGGAAGACAGCGGGAAAAGAGCTAAAATACGTGAGAAACCCGGAAAAACGGGAGGGTTGACAGCTATGTAATAGATAGGAGGGGACACACAACTAGTAAAGTTGGATCTGCTGGGAATCCTTATAAATGCTGACAAAGGGTCGGCCAGGCTTGGAAAATAATACTCTTCCCAAATCCCGTCGGCAAACAGGCTAAAATATCTATTTTTGTCTCCACTAAGTGCCTCAAACAAAACTCCTGGACATCTCTTATAGAGTCTATGCCGTGAACCTCGCATACTTTTGAGAATCCTACGTTTAGCTGATCTTGATAAATGCTCATTGTCACTCATGTAAACACAACAGTTTTTCTTCCGCAATCACACGTCTGCGCTTTGTTTCCCGGCAGACCGAAAATAAACGCGACACTCGCACCCCCCGGAAATCCGATCAAATTCAACCAATCAGATGACGACTTCGACATTCCTGAAGTGTTTCCAGTTAAGTGTACCATATGCATCAGACGTTTAGCCAACGTTCCGTGGGCGTGACGTCTGAGGCTGAGACTATTACATGTGTGACCTCCAGATTAATCTTTTGGCAGAACACACCCTGATCTGAACTCCCTCTGGTAATCCATCTTCCAAATATAATAGTACTATATAATAGTACTTTTGAAGAACATCCATCCCCATAATTAGTCCTAACTATAAAACATTAAAATATGAATGTTTTTGTTTAAATATTTTTGTTTGTTTCTTATTTATAATTAACTCTTTCCCAGCCAATGTTTTTTTTTAAAAAGTTGCCAGCCACCGCCAAAGTTCTGTCCCCCAGAATATTTTGTGTTATGAATATCTGAACATGCAATTTTTAAACAAAGGTCTGCTTTTAAACAACAACAAAAAAATCATTATTTTTTTTTATCAACACTTGAATGTAGGTAAGTTTTATAAAAAAGCAACATTTTGAGTAAAAAGCTCAGTCCTATAGCAGGTCCTGGGTCGACATTTCATTCTGTAACATTAGGCAGTTTTGATTTATATGCTGTTTAATGTTGATGATCACATTATTTTTCATATGCATATGATTATTAAAGCCCCGAAAATTCCATCAATAGTGGGGGAGCAGTTTCTCGCAAATGACAGAAATGTTTGTCAATGGCGGGGAAAGAGTTAAAGAGCTTACAACTAAATTCAACATTATTAATTTTGCTGTGATGCTGTGGATTCAATAATAACACCTGTGAAGAGATGATGCCAACCACTGCGAGGACATCAGATGACGCCAACTCTGAATCAACACACACAACTGCCAAGTTTTCAGATCATATGATCATAACTTAATAATTCTTTTTTTTTCAGCCTAAATGAATACATGATGCTAGCTAACTGCATGATTTGTATTATCTTAGAACTGTACATTTCTGAAATATGGACATTACATGGACACAGTCACCTCTGATGTAGAAACATGCATTTTCTGTAAAGCTGCTTTGAAACGATATGTACTGTGAAAAGCACTATACAAATAAATGTCAATTGAATTGAACGCAGCCCTGTTTTTACAGTACTAGTAGCAGATTTTATTCTCAGAAGTGGAATGCAGATTCTCAAGAACCGTTAACAACTAAAAAGTTAAAAAGAATAGAGTAACAGTATTAAATGGACCTGATTCTGACCCACACAAAGTTCACAAGAACTGCTGCAGATCTCAAAGTAGTGAAGGATTCCAATTTCCAGATTTTTTTAAATCTCCTCACATGTACTGTGTAAGGTCTGTCTCAGTGATCCGATCAGTCATCCCAAAAATATCACTGTGTTCACCTTTTAATACGGTTTAAATTGAGGTTTTGAAGGTGGAAAAACCCTAAAATCTGGCAGGTAATCTGATGCCGTTCGAATCAACATGATATACCCCCCCCCCAAAAAAAAATTAAAAAAATTATACTCTTCAAAAGCATGGGGTCAGTAAGAACTGCACTAAGGCTAGAATTATTTGATCAAAATACAGT